GGGGGGGCGGTAGTGGAGATTCAGGGCGGTAGTGGAGGTTCAACACAGGGCTTTCTCACTGAACTAGATCTTCAGACCATTTATTTTTTAAATTTGAACATGTCTCACTAGTTGCCCAGGTGGAACTCGAACTTGTGATCCTCCTGCCTCGGCCTCCCTGAGTGCTGGGATTGCAGGAGTGCATTATCTCATCCGGGTGTTGTCTGTTTTTACAAATTTCCCCTCTTGCCTTGCTTACCCCTCTTTGTGGCTCCCCTCCTGGTAGGTGGGCATATGGCTCTCCTGGTATACACATACACACTGACAGATCCCCCCACCGGACGGACAGGCCTGCATACACAGCCACTGGCATACACACAGACACACCACCAGTTTCCGGGGAAGCCCAGCCCACCTCTTTCTTATTCTGTGATGCCTCTCCAGGAAGGCCACCTCTAGGGCTCAGTTCTCTCCTTCAGAGAGTGGTTAACTGCAGAGACAGCGCAGGTGTACAGATACAGCAGTGGCCCAGGTGGGGCTCAGTGGGTGCCCAGCCCCGCAGGGCCATCCCAGGAGCAGGGCCAAAGACAGCACATGCTACCCACGATGTACGCTCACCAGAACCCAAAAGCTACCATTTGGGGGACTTACAGGGGACAGGGACGCACACCAGCATGCACCCAACAAAGTCCAGGCTGGGGGGACCCTGGCAGAACAAACCACCTGGTTTCTTCAACAAATACACCTCAGCGGGAAGAAATGAGAGAGAACTGGTGAACACCAATGAAATGCCACATTTTAGATCTTGATTTGAAGAAGGCAGCTGTTAAAAAGACTAACTAACAAAGAAGCCAGGCATGGTGGCACCCCCCTGTAATCTCAGCATTTTGAGAGGTTGAAGCAGGAGAATCACAAGTTTGAGCCCAACTTAAGCAAGACCCTGTGTTAAAATAAAAAATAAACTGGTTCATGCTACAATCTCAGCACCTGGAGGGGGTCTTTATGTCATTTTCTCTACTTCTGTGTCTGTGTGGCGTTCCTGCGATAAAGTTAAAAGAAGGAAAGGGCTTGGTCTGAGAGCCTCTGATGTCCCTGAGGCAGGGTACAAGCGTCGGACCCTGGAGAGGCAGTGACACGAGGTCAGCTTTATAATTTGCCACACACCTGGCTGTGAGCCCAGCAGTCCCTTATGACATGTGCGGAGACCTTTCCCAGTGGGCAGCTGGGAAACTGAGTCCTGACGTCCTGACCGGGCTGGGACGGCCCCGGAGCACAGGTAAGTCTGAAACTTAAGGCCAATGCCAACCCTTGTGTTTGGGATCTTTGGGGAGCTACAGGGGTTTCAGGGACAGCAGAGAGAAAGGGTCAGCATGAACTGGCACCTGTCCTGTCCTTGCTCAGTCTGCTCCCAGCCCCCACAGGACATGTGCCCTTGGCGGGGGGGGGGCATGTGAGTCCCCAAGATGAGCTACTTCTTCCATATGTTCCTCAAGGAGAGACTAAAAGGCTGTGACCTGACAGTTGGAGACAGCTGAGAACCAGGCCAGACCGAGCCCATGTTTTCTTTGGCCTGCAAAATGTTTTTAAATTTTTTAGCCAACAGTGGAAGGTCAGGTGATTTCATGTAAAAATCCATATTTCCGCTCCTCTTGTAACTTTGGCGACCTGGCCGCACCAGGTCTGCCTCCCTGTGAGTGACTAGAGGGATGGGTGGAGCTGGCCGCACTGCTGCCATTGGTGCCTGGGCGCCGGCACCGCTCACTGGCCCCCGAGGGGCATCTCTGGTTAGAGGACATTGCTGTGGTCTCTCCTCCCTGCTCCACAACCCCAATGGTCCCCAGACACGTGGCAGCCGGGAGGTCTTGGGCTCCCAGAGCCCCTTGCCCTTCGCTGCAGCCCTCACACCACACCCTCACAGGTTTCCACCGTCATCCTTTGGTGAAGGGCTCTAAGTGGTTCACAGATCGTCCCAGTCAGGACACAGATCAGTCCCAGCCACTGTGCTGGGCGTCGGGGAAGGGGATTCAGGCCTGGAGCACAGTTCTAGCGACTGCCTTACAGCCGAGCAGACCGGGTACGAGGTAATGTTGGGGCGATCACTGACCTGGGTCCCCTCCTCGTCCAGCGAGGATGCTGGCCAGGGTCTCAGACACAGGCCCGCCCCGGTAGAAAGGCCTTTCACCCTGGCCGGCAGGGGGAGGTCATCCCGTCTGTCCAGTGTTCTACATTGTGTCCTGGGGAAGACTCGGCAAGGGCGTGGCCGGCCAAGCTCCTTTGTCATTTCCCGGCATGGACATCACCATTCCTGGCCTGCCTGGGTCCTGGAGTGGCCCTGCGTGGGCGGGTGAGCACACCTCTTGGCAGCTGACGCATGTGTCGAGTGTGGGAGCGTCGAACATGGAGGAGGGAGGACCCAGCGTGGCCCAGCCTCCTCTGCCCGGCTTCCTGGGAGCCGCCAGGACCCCATGGGTCCATGTGGCACCGAGGACCACATGGGTATCCCGCAAGGCTGGAGGCTGAACTCAGAGCTGGCCAGGAGATGGGAACTGAAGCACCCTCCCCGGGAGGCCACACGGTGAAGGAATGTGTGACATCGTCACTCCAACCCTGACCTCACAGGGTGTCACTGTCCAAGTACAATCCTAACACGATGCATCAGGGCCTGGAGCCGCAGAAACAGCCGAGGCCGGGGATGAAGAGGCTCGGGATCAGCCAGGAGCTGGCTGGGGGCCTTGCCGTCACCCTACAAGAGGACACTCACGACCCCAGCTTTCTAACCTAAAGAGGCAGCCCAGTGCCATCATGAGAAATGCCACCGCTGTTCCCACTCCTGGGGTGCTGGCAGCCCCCAAACCCCAAGGGGTGACTGATACCCCTAAGGGCCAATTCAATATGCGTGGTCCACTGGAGAGGCTGGGGACACAGAGAGGGAGATGGAGACCGAGACTTGAGACTGGGCCCCCGACACTGAGTCTGGGAGACAGGAAGGCTGAGAAGGGAAGACCGTGGAGGAGCCTGGCCCTCCTCAGCCGGCCACGGTGGCCCTGTAGAGGCACAGGAAGCCTGGGCACACACAGCCAAGGCAGGGGTCAGTGACTTCTATCCCCCAGTTGTACTGGGCACGAGGTGCTGCTATGCTCTGCCTGAAAAGCACCTGTCACACCCAGGAGGGGTCCCGGCTACCCCCACCGGGCTGGCACCCTTTCCATGCTCCCCTGCACCCTGAAACCATGGCAGCCTGGCCAGTCCTGGCATGGCCAACCTCAAGGGGCCTCTCTGTCCTGTAGCTTTGGGAAACTACAGATTTGGAGCCCAGATTCAAATTCGAGTTTCTGCTCTGTCTTCCTAGCTTCGGTTTTGTTTCCCTGAGCCCGATTCTCTGTCAGAAAAATGGCTGCTGCTGCTAATAACAATGCCACCTGACTCCCGATGCTTAGGAGAGCAGTCCATAAAGTGAGACAAAACCCCACGGTAATCCAAGAAGCACCCAAGGATCCGAGCCGCAGTGATGGCCCCAGCCATGGGAGCCGCCACAGCAGAGGGAGGGCCCCAACCCCCGCCCCCCCAGGATGGGAGAGGAGACTCTGGCGGTGGCTTCCAACCAAACTCCTCCAACCAGTTCTGAGGAGGAAGGAGGAGGAAGGCCAGCCGGGCGCCTGCTCTCTGGCAGGACTCACCTCCATGGCTGCTGGCGGCAGGGGTGCCGGCCAGGGTGTCCGGGTCTGGATAGCGGTGTGGCGGGTACTGGCCCACCGCCTGGCAAGAGGAGGAAGGAGGAGGAAGGCCAGCCGGGCGCCTGCTCTCTGGCAGGACTCACCTCCATGGCTGCTGGCGGCAGGGGTGCCGGCCAGGGTGTCCGGGTCTGGATAGCGGTGTGGCGGGTACTGGCCCACCGCCTGGCAGTCAGCACCGAGACGAAGGCGAGGAATACCGAGCTCTTCCTCCCCCTGGGCATGATGGGCCTGGCAAGGCCCTGGCCAGCTTCCCGGGCCATGTTCTGACAGGAGCCTGGTGGGGGAGTGGGCTCCGGGGCAGGCCAGTGTGCCGGGTGCCCATCTAACCCCGGTGAAGTCGATCATCCGAGTACTGAGGCCCGGTGTCACCCACATGGCTGTCATACCTGCTCCTGTGACGGGCAGGGCCAGGAATTCCCACTCGTACCAGGCTGTAGGGCAGCCGAGGATGGGCGGTCAGGGCTCAGTGAGCTGGCCCAAACTCGCTCCTTCGGGTGGGCCCAGCCCTCTCCTCTACCACCCCAAGGCCCACTGCCATTGCCTTCCTGGGGGGCCTCAAACCACCACACGGAGCCAGGAAGGTGCTCAGATACAGGTGACCGACTCAGGCGGGGCTCAGTGGGTGTGACTGGCAGGGGCCTGATTACTCACTTGGGAAGCAGCCCTGACCCTAGGCCTCCCAGGGCCTCTGTGCCCAGCACCCAAGTATGGGATTTCACTGAAGTGGGAGGAGGGGCACTCCAGGTTGTCAGCTGTTTGTCACCAGCAGTGTAGTGAGAATATAATGAGGTCAGCACAGCCAGCATTTCGGAAAAGACACTGCTAGAGAACCAGAAGGCATACTGCTGGGTACAAGGGTGTTCGTGAAAGAAATCCACCGGCTTTAAGAATAGGCGGACATTGTTTGGGAGGGCAGCACTGGGGATGGAACTCAGGCCCTTTCGAGGCGGGTGGGGGAACCACTGAGCCAAATCCCTAGCCCTACAAGCTTTAAGAATTAACACCTTCTCCCTGATTTTCTCACTGCCCTGCAAGCCCCATGCTGGAAGCCATCTAAGAGTTCAACGTGCCCGACGACAGGAAGACCCAGGACTTGCCTGGGTTCTTGCCGGGAGAACCCACACCTTGTGTCTGCAAAGCTCACACACCATCCCAGAGAGCCCAGGAGAAGGCTGGCCTGAGACGTAGGGCTGCTGCTTACCCTCCTGGGTCCCTGTCCGGGTGGACGTGCAGACCCTAGCTGCCAGAGGAGGGCTCTGGGCTGGCTGCCGGGGACCACGGAGGCGGAGAGGAGGGGCCGGTGGTCAGGGTCTTCAGAGCCTCCCCAAAGGCACATTAGGGCCACCCCAGGGCCCCGGTGCGGTGGCCGAGGCCTCGCATGGCATCCAGACGCTGTCACGCCAGCACCTTGCTTGGCCTGCCACTCTGAGCGTTTCACATCCTCTTCCAGTGGCTTTGTTGGGTGCACAGGGCCTGGCTGAGCAGGCTGCTCAGAGCCTGCGAGTAAGATCAGGGGTTCCTCCCCCTGCCTGGTGCCGCCTCCTTCAGGGACCTGCAGGCTTCTCTTCTTCCTGCGGGGGCCCCAGTTTCCTGATCTGGGCTGAGGGGGTTTACTCAAGAGCTTTCAAACTCAAAACCAAACTCCTGCCCCTTCCTTTCTCCTTCCTGCCAGCATCCTGGAGCTCTTGAACTCTTGTTTTTTGAGACAGGGTCTCAGGCTGGCCTTGAACTTACTAGCCCATGCTAGCCTCAAACTTGTGGTGATCTCCCTGCCTCAGCCTCCCAGTGCTGGAATTCCAGGAGTGTGCCCACGCTTGGCTTTGACCTTGAACTCTCACCCAGTGGATTCCTGCAGGAGAATTTCTTCCATGGAAGCAAAGATTTCAGTGATACCCTGGAGTGGGGGTTTTCTGGGGAAGTAGGGAGGCACGGAGGGGAGGTGATCCCCTCTTCCCTGTGTTCTTGGCTCCCAGAGAAGCCTGGACACCTTGACACCCACCCTGGCTGCCCCTGCTGCCAGCCATCCCGCCCACTGTTCACTGGCACACATCCTGCTTCCTGCCAGTCTTGGAGGCTCCTGGGAGGTCAGGTATCATCTCTGGCATTCTTAGTGACTTTCCTCTTGTTCCTGAGACAAAATACCCAACACCCAAAGCTAAAGGGGAAGGGGTTTATTTAGCTGTTTGTAGAGGTTTCAGTCGATGACCGGCTGGCTCCCAGGCAGGGTGGCACATGGCAGAGGGCACTGCAGAGGAGAAACAGTTCATGGTGCCCACAGGGTAGCAAAAGCAGGAGAGCCTTAATGACCTCTTTCTGCCCCTTTTATCTTATGCAGGCTACTTAAGGCAGCAGCACTCATGCCCTTAATCGCCGTGCCCTTGGGCTACCACTGCACCAAGAATCAATCACACACTCTAGATCCAGCCACTCTGAGAAAGCCACATGGCCGCAGGAGGCTTGAGGGGGACAGCTAGACTCAGCCATAACAGGTGTCTTGCTCGTTTACTTTGCCACTGACTTCTACAAGCAGCAGGGCTGACCAGGCTGGGACTCAATGAGCCCAGGGTTCAAATCCCTACCTCCAGACTTGGGGACCTTGGGCCAGTGACTTAGCATTTCGGGACCTCAGCTTCCTCATTTGTAAAATGGGCACAAGGATGCTTGAGGATTCGATGAGAATGTGGCAGGGGCCTGCTTCGAGGACTTCGGCCCCAGCACTGCAGCGGACATGTGGTCAACATGGGCAGACACTGGAATAGCACAGCCTGGCTCTATACTGGACAGCCCGCTCCTGATGACCGCGTGAGGTCTGCCAGGGCCAAGTGCGTGCTCATAACTGGATGCCAGTGGGTACCTGGGAAATATGTGTTACCCTAAAAGCGAACACCAGGAGGGCACTGCAGGTCAAGCCTGGGCCCCGGGGATCTGAAGCCTGGCGGGCCCACCCAGGCTCATCCACTCCTCCCCCGGAGGAGCTCCTAATGGGCCTGTCCTACCCGTGCCTGGGCTGCCCCCACCTCGCCCTGCCTTGCCCACTTCCTGGCTGGGTGGCAGCAGGCATGGCCTGCTGCAGTTCGGTTGCCCCTGCGGGTTATCAGTGAGCTCTCCCAGTGGGAAGAGGGGACCCTGGACCTGGGCCCAGCGCTGTGGAAGGGGTTGGCGGGCAAGTGGATGAGTTTCCTATGGTGCCAGCCTTTTTGGGTGTAAAGCAACCCAAAGGGAGAGGGGCCTTCTGGCCTCTGACAGCATTCCGAGTGCGTTCCCACCCTGTGCGCCACCTCCTCTCCACGCAGGCTTCCGGTTCTCTAACCCTTGTCCCCGCCCAGCCTCCAAGCCAGTTACCACAGTATGTTCCCGACCTGCCCCCAGCCTGGCCTCAGGGCCCAATCCTGGGGCTACTCCTTCCCGACAGGGCCGGGAAGGGCAGGGCAGGGCACCTGGGGGCAGCAGGCGCTGAGTGCCCGGGAGATGTGGAAGGAAGGCCAGCCCGAATCACAGCCAAGTCTCAGAAGCAGCGCAGCAGGCGCAGCTGCTGCTCAGAAAAGCGGGAGCCGGGGAGGTGGGGCCATGGGAGGGGAGGAGCCAGTGGACGCCTCTGCCATCCTCCTGTCAGCCCGGAGAGCAGGCCTTTGTTCCCGCAGGCCTGGTGCAGCCACATGATGTGCGACATCACTGTCACTGCCTGGGACGAGGAGGGGCGGCAGAGAGCAGGGCTGGGCCGGGCCTGTGTACAGGACAGCATGCAGCCCCAGCCAGGTCTGCTGGGGACTCGAGGAAACACGGCAGCATGTGAGGCTCAGAACCCCCACCTGGCAGGACACCTGAGTCACCGGTCCCACCCAGGGTGCCAGGTGGCCTGGGAAATGCACCTGCTGACGTCAGGCACACCTGTGCCCAAACAGGAGCCTTTTCTGGGGGAAAGCCGTGGCATCTGGGGGCATCTACACAGCCTTCCCAGGTGGGGGCAGGCCTGCTGGGTGCCAGCCCATTGTTTGTAAACACCCAGGGCTGTCGCTAGGAGCCGTGACTCAGAGCTGGAACCCTGACTCCTCTAGAAGCTGTTTACTCAGTGCAGCATCCTGTCCAGGAAGTCGATGGGAGAGGCCTCGGCCTGGGTTTTGCTCCTCTTTCCTTCTGCCTGCTGACCTGACTCTGGTCCTGCGAGTGGGGGACAGCCAGGCTCCGCTCCCCTCGTTTCTGGGAACAGCGGCATACCATGGAGTCACCTCTTACCTTTGTGGTCAGGTGGGCTCTGCTAGGCAGGGGGTGCTGGGGCCATGCAGGAGGCTGGGAAAGGGCTCAGGTCTGGTCTGGGGTATGCCCGGACTCGTGGAGGCATCAGGACAACGCAAGCATCTGGAGCCTGCAGCCTGAAAGTAAATGCCTGCCCACGGTTACAAGCCTCGGAGACAGAGCAGCTCCTGATGTCCCTTTGTCCCCTAGAGCCCAGCCAGGTCTCCCTTACATCCTTCAGTGAGGACAAGGCACTGCCTGCCACAGAGGGAGCCACATCACTATCTCCGTTGTAAAGCTGAGACCAGAGAGGCTCAGAGGGCGAACAACTTGCCTGAGGCCACAGAGAGAGCCAGGGCCAAGGCCAGGCACGCAGCCAGGCCTGTGATGCACTGAGTCAGAGGTCACAGAGTGTGTGAGGCGGTGCAGGCGGACACGGCTGTGCCAGGTCCCTGTCAGCGGGGTGCGCGGTCTGTGTGAGACCCAGGCTCCGGATGCTGAGGTCGACCCCACCGATGCTCTTCTGCAAACCCTCTACAGTCTGCATACCCTTGCTTGTGCCCTGAGCCGGGTGATTCTGTCCCCAAGCAGAAGGATAAGTACCTTGGGGCTCCCGGTTACAGGAGGATGACGGGGTCGGGATACCTCAGAGGGCCTTGTGGGCAGCCGCACACCACACTGGGGTGGTCCTTTCCCTGCTGCAGGCTGGGGAGAGCAAGGACCCCGACACAGCAAAACCACAGGATGCCCTTGCGGAGGTGTGGGGAAGTCGGCCACTGCTGCTAGGAAAGGTGGCGGGAGGCCTGGCCCTGCCCCAGGCAGCACAGCCCCTCCGCGGGCGGCTGATTCACCGGCCTCAGGGCTCCCCTGCTTTGCCCGCTAGGCTGGGGAGAGCAAGGACCCCGACACAGCAAAACCACAGGATGCCCTTGCGGAGGCGTGGGGAAGTCGGCCACTGCTACTAGGAAAGGTGGCGGGAGGCCTGGCCCTGCCCCAGGCAGCACAGCCCCTCCGCGGGCGGCTGATT